GGGATGGGAGGGATGGAGAGGGGGGAGGGGGGGAGGGAGGGGAGGGAAGGGAAGGGGAGGGGGAATGGTGGGAAGGAAGAGGGTTGCCTCACTGGGGAATGAGTGGTGCGTGCGGTGGCGGCAAATTGTGGAACACTCATGCGTCACGGAACGGTGGCGGTGATGCGGCGATGGTGGGACGGAACGGTGGCGATGCGGCGGGGATGGTGGGATTGGACGGCGATGGCGGATTGGGCTGATGGGCGGGCGCTGAAATGGTGTTGAGCAGGCTTGACGATCAAGATCACCATTCCCAAGCCCAAGATGATGGCGCGATCGCTGAAGCGCAAGTACCATGTGATGCGGAACACGCTGCTGTACTCGTTCTTTCCGCTGGGCATTCTGTCTGTGATAGCAGTGGTAGCGCTGTTTATTGCGGTGGTGCTCGGCTCTGACCGCAGCTCGTGGTGGCGATCTGGGCGGCCTGCGACGATAATCTGGTACGCGGCGTGCGCCATGCCGGGCTTTGAGCTCCTCCCGCTGACGGTGCAGCTTGTTGGACTGGCGACGACTGCAGGACTGGCGTCGTGTTTGGCGGTGATGGTGGTGCAGCGGTATGTCCTGCGCATGCTGCTCAACTGGACTGGGTGGCTGTACGTGCCGCGCGGGCAGAAGCCGTGGCGAGTGGTGGCGTGGTCGATGGCGGTCAAGGCGCTGACTGTGTCTGCCAAGCAGGCGCTCACCTTTTCCCTGCAGGGCTCGCTGCCACGGCTGCCTGTGCCGTCGCTGGAGGCGACGACGCGCAAGTACCTCGAATCGATCGAGCCGCTTCGGGACGAGGGCGAGATGGCGGAGGAGCGCGAGCGCGTGGAAGCGTTCCTGGCCAACGAGGGCCCCACACTGCAGCGGTACTTGTGGCTCAAGTCGCTCTGGGCGCCCAACTATGTGACCGACTGGTGGGAGAAGTACGTGTACTTGCGCGGGCGGTCGCCGCTGATGATCAACTCGAACTACTACATCAACGACTCGTCGATGTATCGGCCGACGTCGTCGCCTGCGGCGCGGGCGGGCGACATTATCGAGGGCATGCTCGAGTACATGCGGATGATTGACCACGAGACGCTCGAGATCCAGATGGTGAACAACACCATTCCGCTGTGCATGGAGCAGTCGCGACGGATGTTTGCGACGACTCGAGTCCCAGGGCTGGAGCACGACACGCTGGTGCACCTGGAGGCCGGCGAGTCGCGGCACATTGTTGTGCTCTACCGCGGCGTCTTTACCGCGCTCCCGGTCTTCTACAAGGGCCATCTGCTCGACGGGTACCAAATCGAGAACCAATTCACCTGCCTACAGGAAGCTGTCGACGCATACATTGAGGAGCACGGCGAGCCGGGGACGGCCGGCAAGATCGGGGCACTGACGGCCGGCAACCGGACCCGGTGGGCCGAGGTCCGTGAAGAGTACTTTTCGTCGGGCGTCAACGGGCGGTCGCTGGAGGTCATCGAGCGTGCGCTGTTCTTTGTGGCCATGGATCCAGCCAAGCCGGCCAACGACACCGACATGGGGCGGCTCAATCTGACCGGCCGCGGCTACGACCGCTGGTTCGACAAGTCGATCACGATGGTGCTCTACGCCAACGGCGTCATGGGCGTCAACTGCGAGCACTCGTGGGCCGACGCGCTCTGTCCGGCGCGCATGGTGGAGCACGCCATGACCCGGCACTTTAACCAGAAGGTCTTTGACGAGAACGGGTCTGTCATTCCGCGCGATGGCTTCACCAAGCGTGTGCCGTACCAAGGCACCATCCTCCCGTGGGATCTGCCTGTAGCAGCGCAGGCTGCGGTGGAAGACGCAGTGCTCGCGGCGAGTGCACTCATTGCCGACGTGGAGCTGCAACTGTACCAGCACCCGTGGGGCAAGGGCCGAATCAAGGGCTGCCGGCTCTCGCCGGACGCGTTTGTGCAGATGGCGATGCAGCTGGCGTACTACCGCGACCAGGGCGAGCTCTGTCTCACGTACGAGGCGTCGACAACCCGGCTCTTCCGCAACGGGCGAACCGAGACAGTGCGGACGTGCTCGTCGGCGGTCAAGGCGTTTGTCGAGGCGATGGAGGATGAGAGCGTGCCGGCGAGTGAAGTGCGTGCGGCGCTGCAGACAGCGGTTGATGGACACGTTCTCAAGTTCAAGGACGCGATGAGCGGGCGCGGGCTCGACCGGCACCTCTTTGCGCTCTACGTTGTGTCTGTCGGGCGCGGCATCGAGTCGGAGTTTCTCGCCCAGGCCATCTCGTCCGAGTGGCGACTCTCGACTTCGCAGCAGCCGCAGCGGCAGACGGACAACTGGGACCCGTCGACGAACCCAGAGCACGCGCAGCGTGTGTCATCGGGAGGCGGGTTCGGCCCTGTGGCGGACACGGCGGCATACGGCGTGTCGTACATGCTCGCTGGCGAGCACACCATTTACTTTCACGTCTCGTCCAAGGTTTCATGCCCGCTCTCGTCGTCGACGCGGTTTATCAAGAACATCGGGCGTGCGCTCGACGATGTGCTTGCGCTCTTTGACGAAGACGCGCAGTGAGGGAGCGGGGAGAAGCAGCGGAGGCACGGCGGCGCGGCGCGCAGAACAGCCTCGTTCATTGCTGGTAAACGGCACGGTGAGCGGCAAACTCGTCGGCACAGCACTTCATGAGCAGGCGGATAAAGTTGATGCGATCGATGACTTCGACGTTGACGTCGGTCTCGGCAATGACGGAAAACTTGCGCGAGGTAAACTCGATGAGCTCGAGCTCGCCAAAGTAGTCGGGCGCCGAGAGCTGAACAACGGGCGCGCCGTCAGAGTTGAGGATGGAGACGGAGCCGGACATGAGGATGTAGAACTTGTCGGCGTTGATGTCGCCAGAGCGGACAATGACCGAGGCGGCGTCAAACGACTCGTGCGAGGCGACGTCGCGAAGCTGGGTGAGGTTGACGCCGTTGGACGAGAGAAAGTCGAGCTCGGAAAAGATGTTCGCCGGCGGCTGCTTGTCACGCTTGGAGACGATGGCGTTCATCATGGTGATGTTGAAGGTGACGCGGTCGAGGGCGTAGACGACCGAGTCAACCTTTGCGGTGACGGTGGCGGCACGCGGAGCATTGTACATGAGGGCGAGCTCGCCAAACGAGCCGCCGGCCTCGACGACGACGACCTGGACGCCGTCGACAAAGACGGCAAACTCGCCCGAGTCGACGACGTAAAAGTACTCGCCCTGGTCGCCCTGCACAATGATGTCGTGGCCCTCGGGGATGTCGAGGCGGACCATGGCACCGTAAGCGATCTCCAGCTGCTCGGGCTTGAGGTGGCGGAAGAGAAAGTTGGAGCGACAGGCGCACGAGATGCGGACAATCTCGTCGGCCGTCTTGGGCGTACCCACCGGAATCTGCTGCTTGGCAGCCTCTGGGTCAATGGCCTCGGCCGAAATCGAAGTCCGCCGGCGGTCCTTCTGCGAGTTGGGCTTGAGGCGCATTTTTTGCGGGAAGGCCGAAAGCGGCTGCGGCCCGGCTTCAGCGCCGCTGCCGCCCTCGTCGTCCGACGACGACGACGAGTCCGAGTACGACGAGTACGACGACGAGCCATGAGATGTGCGTCGCCGACGCCGTCCTGTCTTTCCCGTGTCTGCCATACCCCTCCCTCCTGAGCTCCACGGAAGCTGGCAACGGTTTACCGACGGAAGGGGGGCGGTCGAAAGCCGAGTGGTGCAATCGTTCGTTTCGCCCGCTCCGCTTCTCCCGCGAAGTGTGGCAAACAAACGAACAAACGGTGGCGGGGTGGGGGGAGGGGGGTGCCGAGCATAAAATATTTACAGTCAGGGGGGGGAGAGGCGGGTGGCGGGTGGCGGGTGGCGAGTGGCGGGGCAAAGGAGCGGACGTCAGGCCACTGCACTGGGGGCTGTGGAGGAGCTTGACGACGTGTGGAGGGAGTTGGGCGGTGAGGCATGTCGTCGATGTTGTACACGGGCTCTATTGAGAACGGACAGATGCATGGAAAGGTAGGTGGGGGAAGGGGGGGTGGGAAGGGGGGGGGGGTGGGAAGGGGTGGGGGAGGACTGAAGGGGGGGGGGACTCATGGGTGGCCATGGTGCGCGACATCTCGGCGGGGTGTGGACTGCTGGGGGGGGGGGGGGGGGATGGGCTGGGACGGGGCTGGGGGGATGGGCGGACTGGACGGGACTGGGGTGGGCGGGACGGCTACGGTTGGTGGACGGACGGCGGTCGGACGGGCGGACGGATGATCGGATGGGCTGGTGGGCGGGCGGATGGGCGGATGGGGTGCAGGGTGCGCTGGTGTATCCGAACAACGAGCGGTATGAGGGCGACTGGGTGTTCGGCAAGCGGCACGGACAGGGGGCGTATGTGTATGCCGACGGGTCGCAGTACTCGGGCGAGTGGGTCGACGACAAGATCCACGGATCCGGGGCGTGTGTGTACGCGACGGGCAACAAGTACACTGGTGAATGGGTGAACGGTCAGATCCAGGGCTACGGCTTGCTCGAGTACGCCGACGGCGACTCGTACGAGGGTGAGTGGGTGGCTGGCAAGATGGACGGGACCGGGCGGTACGTGTACAAGGAGGGCCATGAGTATGTGGGCGAATGGCGCGAGGACGTGCGGCACGGCAAGGGTCGGGTGGTCTACGCTCCCGGACCGGGCGGCGCTGCAGAGTCGTACGAGGGCGACTGGGCCGACGGCATGATGCACGGATGGGGCAAGTACGTGTACGCCGATGGCGGCGTGTACGAGGGCAACTGGGTCTCGGGCAAGATGCATGGCAAGGGCACGTACATCTTTGCCAACGGCAACCGCTATGATGGCGAGTTTGTCGAGGACCAGAAGGATGGCTGGGGCGTCCTCACCTACGTCAACGGCGAGCGGTACGAGGGCTTCTGGGCCCACGACAAGGCCAACGGCAAGGGGACGCTCATCTACAAGCCGGGCGACCGCTACGAGGGCGACTGGCTCGACGGCCGCAAACACGGCGCTGGCGTACTGTACTACGTCAACGGCGACACTTTTACCGGCGAGTGGGAAAACGACCACGCGTCGGGCCAGGGCACGCTCGCCTACGCAAACGGCTGCCAGTACGACGGCGAGTGGCTCAACGATCGCCGCCATGGCTACGGCGTCTTTACCACCCCTCAGGGTGGCCGCTACGAGGGCGAGTGGGCCGAGGGCCGCCGCAACGGTACAGGCACCATCTTCTTCCCCGATGGATCGTCTTTCACTGGGCCCTTTACCGACGGCCTGCCCTCCGGCCCGGGCAACCTCGTCTTTGCGCCCGACTCGGTGTGGAACAACCCGGAGCTGTGAGCCTTTGTCCTCGCTCCTCCGCTCGCCATCTTCCATGCTGCACACAATGAACAGTGTCCAAAGTGTGTTTTCCTGTCCGATGTCCTCCCCCCCCCCCCCCAGCGCTCCCTCCCCCCCTCCTCAGCGACCCAAGTGGTGATGACGCCAGCTGCCGCCAGGCTCGAGAGCGCGGGCTCGGACTCAAGCTCTGCCCGTCGCCGAGAGCGGGACCACCCACAGGCACCCCACTCTGCACACCACGGGCTGTTCCTCTCGCCCACACAGCTTGCGCATGGATCCCGCAGCAGGCTGGACTGGGGGGTACGGAGCGGCAGGTAGCGAAGCAGGTGCGCCAGCGGCGGCGGCTGGGGCGAAGGCGGCAGCAGCGGAGGCGGTGAGTGCGAGAACAAGACAGGATCAGGCCGAGTCCGAGGTCGAGGCTGCGACGATCGGAACGAGATGCGCTGGCAAATGGGATGGCGCAGCAGGGTCGGTGCTTGGTCCGTTTGTGCGGCGCGATGCGGCGTCGCGGTCGAGATGGCGCAAGGCAGTGGCGGTGGCACTCCTCCCGGTTGCGGTTGTCCGGCTCGTGCTCTTTGTGGGCCTCGCCGTCGTCTACTGGGGCGCGCATGCGTGGCTTCCGCGGCGCGGGGCATGTGGGCGTATCCGGCGGATGGTACTCTACGCTCTGCTCCGTGCGGTGGCTGCAGTCATCGGCTTTGTGGCCGTCTCGATCGTCGGCGCCCGCCCGCCACCATCGGCGATGCCGCCGGTCATTGTGGCCAATCACATGTCGTATCTCGACGTCCTCTTCTTGCTTATGCTCTTCCAGCCGGCGTTTGTCTCGGCCGCCTGCGCTCGGCATGTGCCTATCATCGGTCCCATCGCGACATCGCTGAGATGTCTCTTTGTCGACTTTGACGCGGGAGCGCCCGCAACCTCGCTCTCGGCTGCCATCGCGGCGCGGGTCGGCAGCTACCGCTCGCCTGGGGCTGACGCCGACGTTGGCGAGCGCGATGACGAGACCGCTGTTCCGCTGGCGATCTTTCCCGAGGGCACCACAACCAATGGCACCGCACTGCTCCGCTTCCGGACCGGCGCTTTTGTACCGCTAGCGCCGGTTCTTCCGGTCATCATCGAGTATCCGCACGCTACCTTTTCGCCGGCATGGGAGTCGATTGAGATGTGGTGGCACATTCTCTTTCTGCTCACCGCCGTCTATCACTCGGTCACGGTCACCATCCTCCCCCAGCACATCCCAGCCCTGACCAGTCGCCGCGCGAGTATGCCGATGCGGTAGCAGAAATCATCGCTACCCGCGCCCGCCTGCCCATCGTTGATGCTCGCCGCAGCGATAAGCTCCTCTGGCATGCTGTCCTCCGTGGCCGACTCACCCTCGCCGAAGCCCTTGCCCGTTCTTCGGTTGCATAGCCGGCCGCCATCCGCCCTACGCCATCTTAGCCTCGCGCTACTGCACATCGCACCCACTCGGCACAACCACACAACCGAGGCACTCGACCACGCATAACAGCCTTCAATTGATGCCGATCTTCAAAGATGGGACTGAGCAGCCAGTGTCCATCACCCAACCAGCCAACCAGCCAGCCAGCTAGCCAGCCAGCCAGCCAGCACCAGTACCAGTACCAGCCCCCCCTTCCCCCCTCCCACACCCACACCCCTCCCACACCCACTTCCAGCCACTCGACTCGGCTTGCGCGACCACCATGTCAACAGTGGACGAGCTGGAGGCCATCTACGAGACACCTTCTGGAGAGGGTACGTACCCTTTCCCCCTCCCCCTCC